AACTCTAAACTCATAAAATCCCACGCATGCGCAGCTCATTTACTAGTGCGATATCAAGGTGAGAGGAGCTCTCCCACAGTAAATTTTCTCTAAGTCAGACAGCAGACAGACCAGCTGTCCCTCCGTTCTTTCTAACACAGACAAACAGTAACACTGAACAAAACGCACAAACCAACACAAAACATAGAACACAAATCCTACTTCGAAGTTTCTTAACTTTACTATCTTCACTTATTCTAATCTGCAGATTTATAGTTATTTTCTTATCCATTACAAATCCTCTCTATACAATCATAACGTCCTCCCGGGGGCTCATAGGTTTTAACAATGTTTTGAAAACGTTCTCTCAAATGGAGACTCATAAGGTTTTAACCGTAATTAACATATTTTCTTACAAAAACTAAAACCCCTGTTCTCAACCAAAACATATATATGTATATATTTCTAACATAAATCTTATCATAGCATGAGTCGACACACAGCTGAAACACAACAGAGACCTCTTTATTTTTGCGCAAACACACACACTCTCTTTCCCTCACACACACATGAAAAGAATGCATCCATTCATACTGTCACGATCGTCTAACAGAGATGAGGACCAAGGCGCAGCGTTGCAGGCAAACATACTCTTTATTAGAGACACGATCACAAAACAACAAAACGATAACGTGACAGTTCACGGTCTAACACAACCGACTAGAAACAAGATCCCACAAACTCTGTGGGGAAACAGGCTGCTAAAGTATGGTTCTCAATCAGAGACAACAGGCAACAGCTGAATCACATTGCCTCTGATTGAGAACCACACTGGCCAACATAGAACAACAATACTAGAATGTGAAACCTAGAACAAAACACATAGACTTTACACACCCTGGCTCAACATATTAGAGTCCCCAGAGCCAGGGCGTGACAGTACCCCCCCCCTAAAGGCGCGGACTCCGACCGCGCCCACCAAATACCACAGGGGAGGGACCGGGTGGGCACTCCGCTTAGGCGGCGGATCCGGCTCCGGGCCTGATCCCCGCTCCCTCTCCAACCCCCCAAAGTACCCCTGGTCCGGTCTGGCCCCGCTGGCCGGAGCTGGACTGCACACTGGTGGAGCGGATTGCTCTAGCTCCGGCGTGAAGCATCTGACCGGTGCCGGACCAGCCACCGGTGGAACAGGCACGGGCCGTGCCGGACTGACGACGCACACCACTGGCTTGGTGTGGGGAGCAGGAGCGGGTCGAGCCGGGCTGACGAAACGCACCACTGACTTGGTGCGGGGAGCAGGAGCGGGCCGGACCGGGCTGACGAAGCGCACCACTGACTTGGTGCGGGGAGCAGGAACGGGCCGTGCCGGGCTGACGAAGCGCACCACTGACTTGGTGCGGGGAGCAGGAACGGGCCGTGCCAGGCTGACGAAGCGCACCACTGACTTGGTGCGGGGAGCAGGAACGGGCCGTGCCGGGCTGACGAAGCGCACCACTGACTTGGTGCGGGGAGCAGGAACGGGCCGAGCCGGGCTGACGAAGCGCACCACTGACTTGGTGCGGGGAGCAGGAACGGGCCGAGCTGGGCTGACGACGCGCACCACAGGCTTGGTGCGGGGAGCAGGAACAGGATGGGCCGAGCTGGCGACGCGCACCGTAGACTTGGTGCGAGTGGCAGGAACAGGCCGGACCGTACTGGGAACACACACCACTGGCCCTACGTGGGGATCAGGAACAGGCCGGACCGGACTGGCAACACACCCCAGTACCTCTCGCCGTGCCTCTACATCCTCCATCCCCTCTTCGACCAGTGGCCCCCGTAACATGGCTGGGCCGCTCTATCGCGGCCTCCTGCTGCCCCGACGTCGTGAGCCCCCCCCTAAAAAAATTCTGGGAGTCTCTCTTCCCCGTGGGCCAGGCCTCTATAGTTCTCGCCCAACTCTCGCTCTTCTGCTTCCAATTCCCGCCATTCAGCTCCTCATTCGGCTTGACCCAGTCGAAGCTCTTCCTCCACTGTTCCCAAGTCCACCCTCTCTGCTCCTCACTAGGCTGCTTGGTCCAGTTCTGGTGGGATCTTCTGTCACGATCGTCTAACAGAGATGAGGACCAAGGCGCAGCGTTGCAGGCAAACATACTCTTTATTAGAGACACGATCACAAAACAACAAAACGATAACGTGACAGTTCACGGTCTAACACAACCGACTAGAAACAAGATCCCACAAACTCTGTGGGGAAACAGGCTGCTAAAGTATGGTTCTCAATCAGAGACAACAAGCAACAGCTGAATCACGTTGCCTCTGATTGAGAACCACACTGGCCAACATAGAACAACAATACTAGAATGTGAAACCTAGAACAAAACACATAGACTTTACACACCCTGACTCAACATATTAGAGTCCCCAGAGCCAGGGCGTGACACATACGGTCCTTAAAAGCATGCTTACGTCGCTCCTATTTCCTTTATATTCCTTCCTAAATTTATGCTACCTTGAGTTGCAGATATTCAATGAGAGGCTAATTCAGACATATACTTCGTCAACTATATACCGAGAGGTAACATACAATTGAATGTGTATTCTACAATCTCCAGTCCCTTCGACTGACCTGAAAATGCACCTAGTGACTCTTCAGGATTTTGTGGCCCATCTTAATGATCACCTCGTTTGAGGGCTTCTGTAGATCAGCGACATCCTAACAGTATACATTTTTCCTTATTTCCATGTCCTATTCCTTCATTCTATTCCTTTTCCCTTTAATTTTATTCAAGCCAAATATATATTCTAGCCCAGTATTATCAATTCCTATAGACACTTTTATCCTGTATTATATTCTCACTCCCCCCTGTTTGCGTTGTTTTCACACGAACTGACCAGCGCCCAAAGTTGTGAGAAAGCTCACCTTATCTGCCGGCCTCTGTAGCGGGAGTCAGCTCGCAGCCCATGATGGAACGCCGAAACAGACGCAACACGTCCCAAAATCCTCGTCGCCAATTTTCTGTGGTGGCCGAACAACGATGCTGATATGCTGTGTTGATAAGAAAGATTTCAGCGTCAATTTACAGATTTCTGCAGAATCTGGAGAACAACTAACCCAATCTCAAATATGATTATTCTCCCCGTCCTTTGTTGAAAACCTGGTATATATCCTATGTAACATAAGATGGGTGTTTTGAATAGACCAATCCCTGGCTTCCACATATCCAAGTCTCCTCTGTTTCAGGGGGCCCCTATAGTAATGCTTTCCAGATGTTTCAGCAAGGCAGAGTAAAGTTAATCTAACACACCATTTGCAAACGTCAGCCAAAATTATTAACTGTTCAGATACTACATATTTCCCCCCTTTGAGACTAATTAAATCTCGAAAACAAAAAGAATAGGATTATGACAAATAACAATTTTTATTACATCAGGCTTCTTGAGTAACTTTAGCAATAAAACAAAATGTATGGAGTGTAAACACATTTTTATGGAGTGTAAACAAATGTTTATGGAGTGTGAGAGCGAAAAACCTGTCTGGCAGCTTTCTTTCCAAATATCCATCAAACAATCAAGACAGGAAGATTATCTCACGGCCCCTCTGCCCCAGGCGACCACCTAAGTACCCCAGATCAATTTATACATTTTTATCAATGCATTTTAAGCTATGATACAATTGAATACACATGAAAACCTCAGAAAACAAAATACAACCATTTGCAAACGTCAGCCAAAATTATAAACTGTTCAGATACTACTGCACAACACTAGTATTGCCTATGGAGAATGCATTCAGAATATGGAGATCAATGAAAGATAGCCATCAAAACATATACATATTCATGTCCATTTCAGAACGCATGCCTAGATTTAAAAACACTATGATATTACAAACCTCTGCCACACCTCCGTTATTGTGATCTCGACCCTAAAAGCATAACTGGCTGGCACATGCGTTTCCCCATGCTTAAAATCCGTGTAGAGAGAAAAAAGTCTGAATTCCCCCATAGATCATAGTCCAACGCTTTTGTCTAAACAATATATAAAATGCTTTTTAGATGATCTGTTGTCTTGTTTTATCAATGGAATCATCAAGTGAGGACTTCGTATTAAGCACCACAACCAAACACACCTCTCTATTTGTCCCTGGGGGAGCTAGCGTTGCATCATAATAAACGTAGATAGCTGCTAAGGCAGCATGTTTCAATTAGGCTAGTTGATTAATCTCTTGTGTTCCATTTATATGCACTCTCAGCTCGGTAGCTAAACTCTGAGATTGAAACACCGACATTCCCATGGGTATACCCACTGAGCAAAAACTGTTTGATTCAATGTTGTTTCCATGTCATTTCAACCCCCAAAATCATTGTGATGACATTGAATCAACGTGGAAAACTGATTGGATTTGCAAAAAGTCATCAACATAAGGGCATTTCGTCGTTTTTTCACCAAACTTTTAACCTAAATCCAATTACATGGTGACATTTTCTATTGATTTCACGTTGAATTCATGTTAGTTTACAACTCAACCAATTTTAAATCAAAACTAGAAATTGAACTGACGTCTGTGCCCAGTGGGTACAGTACACCTGACCTAGCACAGGTTGGTTGGGTAACTAGGGAAAGACCCATTTGCTGTGATTTTAGGTAGATGGGTATGGCAGGAACTACTTTGTATTTATCTGGTGTCCATGGTGATTTTACATTGGTAGTTCTGCAGGAGGTTGGGCTTGTGTTGAATGCTACAAAAATAGGGAGTGTCTATACAGGTGTAGCTTTAATAGATGGGAAGCAATCAATATATATGTTTTGCACATTTGTATTTATGGTCTATGACCAACAGGGTGTTCACATTCGGAATAAAACATCTAGCAGTGGACTAGAGGATCCAGATAGAATGGAGGAGACAGTTACTGGAATATAACTGTTCTTAGAATAAACTTTTGATAACAAACTGGGAAAACAGATTAAGATGCAGAGAGACTGAAGAGTATTCTACCCAGGACTCTAACTCTAATTCTGTAGCTGAGATAGAGACCCCAATGCCGGAGTTGAGAGACTTGGAGCCGGTGGGGGTGGGTCTCCGTGTCACCACGTCTCCCACCCAGACCGTATTCTATATCATCTTGGTCCTGCTGGGCATTGTGGGTAACGCCACGGTGGTTGGCGTGATCGGGGACAGCGTGTTCAAAGACCCCAGTAGAGGACATAACTCAGACATCATCCTGATAAACATGGCCCTCTCTAACCTGCTGGTGTCTGTCCTGAGGAACGTCCTGCTGGTCATCTCTGACCTGGGGATGGAGGTAAGGAGCTGGATGGGACTGGGACTGGGGTCGGGCACTGTGGTAGGGCATGCCATGAAGAATGAGGGCTGTATGTGGGTGCTTGAGACAAGGGGGAGGAAGGTATGCGGATTGTGTGTGGTTTGGCCTCTAAGTAAAAGGGTTGTGATTATGGGATTTGGTATTTGAGATATAGGAGAGATTTGAGCTAGTCTTTGAGGAATGGTACTTTAAAATGCAAGGGCTAGGGAGGGTGGTGTGGTCTGTAACTAGAGATATGATGTGAGACAAGAAAGCAATCTGACAATATACCGTGGAATACTTACTGATAAGACCATTGTTCAGGTCGGCACTATTGTGTACACACATAAAAACTGACACCCAGCTCTCTCTCTAGCTGAACTCTTCCAGAGACTGGTGTCATGTCCTGATGGGGGTGTGGGTGTGGCTTCGCTCAGTCAACGTGTGGTCAACACTCTTCCTCAGCGCGTTCCACTTCCAGACACTGAGGCGTGTGGCCCCTCTCCCAGGGACTGTTCACGGGCCCCACAGACCCCCCAAGACCCTCCTGATTAGCCTGGGCCTCATCTGGTCCCTCAACCTGATCTATGCTATACCTGCACATATCTACTCTACCAACGGGAACAAGAACAGCACAGAGGTAGGACCCTGATTCAATATAAGCAGAGTGATAGACATTTGTGATGATGTTCCTCTTTGAATTGTGGGAAAATGTCTTACACCCCTTCTCCACCTTCTCTTCCCATCCCATCTCCTCTTCCCTCTCTCCTCCTCTCCTCTATCTCCTCTCTCTTCCCCCTCCCCTCCAGACCCTGATGGTGGTCAGCAGCACCACGCGCCCCCTGCTGGGCTGTGTGTGGAACTTCCCCTCCAGCTACGAGGGCCTGGCCTACGCCACCACCTCCATGGTGATCCACGAGATCCTGCCTATCATCCTGATGGCCATCACCAACCTGGGCTCCCTCTACACGCTCTACACCCACGGCAGGACCCGCAACCCCGCACACATGACCCAGGACGCGCCCGTCATCAAGAGGGTACCGGCTGAGAGACGGGCTGCCAAGGTGAGAGAGACTGGAGGGGATTCAGAATGATGCCTTGTTGTGTGTGGCCTGCAGCCTGCTTATTTTGGATGGAAAGAAATACAACATGTGATTTGTACCTGTAACATTGCTATTGTCGTTAAAAATAATTCTCTCCCTGCCCTCCCTTTCTCTCCAGGTGATTCTAGCCCTCATCGTGCTCTTCATTGCGTCATGGGGAACCAGCATCATCTCTATAAACTACTTCAACTACAACCGAGGTTCGTCAGCCGGGTTCCTCCTGGTTATAGCTCGCTTTGCTAACACCATCTTCATCGCCATTTCGCCCATTGTGCTGGCAGTGGGTCACCGGCGGCTGCGTGCTGTCATTAAGTATTTTCTTACTCACTGACAGATCCCACACCCTGACACACACACTGCAACTGACATTATGGGGACGTCAGTGGAATACAAATATTACACTTGCCTTAACATAGCCTAACAATACATTAGAATTACATGGTTGTTGGCATTCCTCTGTATACGTTGGCAACCATTTTGATTCTCTTCCAGGGTCAGACTATTTTAACATGGCCACTATGAGAGACAAACCCATTCATTTATTTTTTATCACAATTTCTGTTGATTCATCAGTACTGAGGAATTGCACGTTCAGTTGTTTGGAGGAGTTTAATAGAAAAGGTTGTGGAGTTCATCATTGGAATGAAATGTGTTAATCTGTACTTGTCCGTGAGACTACGTTAACACAATTTATTTCTGGCAACCTGCCCTTTAGTCAGCGACAGAATGTTTTTTATGTATTGACTGTACGTGAGAGGGCACTCCTAGCTATAGATAGTTGTTGTTACATGTTCTGTCTTGTTTGCTCTTTAAAAACCAGTCAAATTAAAGGCCTTTATTTGTACCATCTCCCAATCTCTGAGACAGTTTATGCCAGAGGCTCCTCTACATGAAGCTCATTGAGAGGGAGTCAACAGTTCAACAGGATCTGTTTTTGAAGAATGTGAGATTAAACATTCCATTACTTTAAATGTTCTAAGGTATTTATTGGATGGGTTATTACTTATTTATACAGGGGTTTTATATACAGTTGAAGTCAGAAGTTTACATACACTTAGGTTGGAGTCATTAAAACTTGTTTTTCAACCACTCCACAAATTTCTTGTTAACAAACTATCGTTTTGGCAAGTCGGTTAGGACATCTACTTTGTGCATGACACAAGTAATTTTTCCAACAATTAATTACAGACAGATTATTTCACTTAAAATTCACTGTATCACAATTCCAGTGGGTCAGAAGTTTACATACACTAAGTTGACTGTGCCTTTAAACAGCTTGGAAAATTCCAGAAAATGATGTCATGGCTTTAGAAGCTTCTGATAGGCTAATTGACATAATTTGAGTAAATTGGAGGTGTACCTGTGGATGTATTTCAAGGCCTACCTTCAAACTCAGTGCCTCTTTGCTTGACATCATGGGAAAATCAAAAGAAATAAGCCAAGACACCAGAAAATAAATGTAGACCTCCACAAGTCTGGATCATCCTTGGGAGCAAGGTGGCCTACAAACCTGACTCAGTTACACCAGCTCTGTCAGGAGGAATGGGCCAAAATTCACCCAAATTATTGTGGGAAGCTTGTGGAAGGCTACCTGAAACGTTTGACCCAAGTTAAACAATATAAAGGCAATGCTACCAAATGTTAATTGAGTGTATGTAAACTTCTGACCCAATGGGAATGTGATGAAAGAAATAAAAGCTGAAATAAATCATTCTCTCTACTATTATTGTGATGTGTGTGATAGAAGGAGTCAGGCGCAGGAGAGTAATACGCATCCAAAAAGTTTATTCCGTCGATAAACAGTTGCGCAAGCATGCGACAACAAAACTCAGGCACAGGGGAAAATTCTACCCTGGCAACAACAAGGTAAGGATAGCTCAACCGAGCTACACACAGCTCACAACAAACAATCACCCACACAGACAAGGAAGCAGAGGTAACACTTATACAATGACTTTAATAATTGGGGATAAGGACCAGGTGTGTGTGATTAATTAGACAAGACTAGTGGAGTGATGATAAATGGATTGGCAGCAGCTAGTAAGCCGGTGACGACGAACGCCGAAACCTGCCCGAACAAGGAGGGGAGGCAGCCTCGGCGGAAGTCGTGACAATTATTCTGACATTTCACATTCTTAAAATAAAGTGGTGATCCTAACTGACCTAAGACAGGGAATTTTTTGTAGGATTAAATGTCAGGAATTGTGAAAAACTGAGTTTAAATGTATTTGGCTAAGGTGTATGTAAACGTCCGACTTCAACTGTACATGTTGACATTCAAACACAGACTGAGGGGGAGGCAAGCACTGGTTATTTAATGATTCCATTCAAAGTGGTACTCATTTATTCAGTCACATTTTTTAAAAATACATTTATATTTGCTTTAACTCTCTCCTCTACTTGGATAACCTCTCTCCTACTGAATAGTGAACACAATTTATTTTGCCTTCTTTCCCCTTGTGTCCGGAGATTTGCTTTCCTCCACTACTTCCTCCCGTTGACATTTGACCCTGTCAACACAGCCAACGATCATCCCCATGATCCTCCTCCTCAGCTGCCGTTTCCCAAAGCCACCACCATGGGGCTGAAGTCCACAAACAGAGGCAGAGAAGTGGGATACAGTCAGCAACCCCTCCACATGGTGCCCCCCGTTATGGTTATAGTATGTCACCACCGCAACCTGCAGGGCCCAGCACACCACAAACAGCATCATGATCACATGACCAGCCTTGCGTTCACTGACCACATGCCTGTCCAGCTCGCCCTGCGTCCCTCTCCCATCGAGGTGACGGCCCAGATGTGCTTGGCCTGTGTGTACAGCATAGCCATGTTGGTGCCCACCATCAGCACCAGGGGAGCCACCTCGTTGAGGGCCAGGGAGCTGGAGGTGAATGCCGAGCCCTGCTCCTCCGAGGGGAACTCCTACACACAGCCCAGCAGGGGCCTGGTGGTGCAGCTGATGACCATCAGCTCCACCGTGGCGTTGCCATGGACGTGGGTGGTGTTGACCAGCGCCGGCAGGGATAAGGCCAGGTTGACCCCCATAGACCAGCTCCAGGCCCACCCACATCCTCCTCTGTTTGCGTTGCTGTTCCAGGGGCCCCACAGCCCCTGGCGTGGGCTGCAGAGTCACCCAGCAGCCCACGGCCCGCCACCACACCCACAGCAGCAAGAAGAGGCGGCACCAGTCCAGGGCCAGGGACACGTCCAGACCCAGGTGAGACACAAAGATGGGCACCGTGCAGAACAGAGACGTCAGCAGGTTGGCCAGCGACAGGTTCACCAGGATTGTGTCAGAGGGAGGAAGCCGACGAGACAGACTTTCAATGGCCGACGAACACCTGAGAGAGAGAGTATAATTAATTATTATACTAATTACTGTGTGATGTTATCTCAGGCTGAGATATTCCATGGCTATTGGCAATTAGAGTTCTATTTCTTTGATAGTTCTCTCCTCACCACACGGATGATCCGTATGTTTCACAGGATTCCAGAGAAGACCAGCAACCCAAACAGAATAGCATCTACATTGAGGATCTTTGAAATCATTTCCTCCTCAGCATGGTGCCACTATTTCTGTGTTATTCATTGCCTATATGTATATCTCTACAGTGGTGAGAGTTACTATTCCAGGGTGTCAATTCTACCTTTGCCTCTATCCTGTCAATTGTGAACTATTTATATAGACACATACACACACTCATACATAAACAAAGCCATCACAAAAACAAACTCAGCATCTTCAGTGTTGCTGACCTGGCTTAGGGTAAATTTACTCCAATCATTAGGCACCTAGATATGCCTTCCATGCCCTTGCCTGCTGCTTAGGTATGCAGATTTTTACTGCATTGGCCAGCAGGGAACACACACACCACTTACACTACATGGCCAGAAGTATGTGGACACGTGCTTGTCGAACATCTCATTCCAAAATCATGTGCATTAATATGGAGTTGGTCCCCCCTTTGCTACTATAACAGCCTCCACTCTTCTAGGAAGGCTTTCCACTAGATCAGGGGTGTCAAACTCATTTTAGCTCAGGGGCCACATGGAGGAAAATCTATTCCCAAGTGGGCCGGACCGGAAAAATCATGGTATATATAACTTAAAAACAACAACTTCAGATTGTTTTCTTTGTTTTAATACGATCAACAGACAACATAAAGCTGGAGCCTGAGGACAGTGTGTCCAAAATAGTACAAGCACAACATCACTATTAATCATAAAACACCTCAAGTTTATTTGAAAATTCTAAAGAAAAAGAACACACAAACACACAATGCCTCAGTGATTAACAGAACTGTTTCACAGATCACAGAACTATATCAGGGTGTCATTTCTCAGGCAGAAATGTAGATAAAAATAATGAAATCCTGTTCCCCAAACAAGTGCAAGAACCACAGAGTCAAGAATAGGTTAAATATACAAATAAAATAAAATCAATTAAAAACAATAGCACATCAACATAAAAACATATAAACATAAATCTGAAAGCGTTGCTCAAACTCCCGTAACAGTCCAGTTATTTTATCTTTGAACCGCTTCATGTCTGCCACATGTTGGGTCGCGCACACATTTTTCAGACAGGGGAAGTGAGCTGCATCACCACCGGCAAGTTGCGTCTCCTACAATGACAGCTTCAACTTGAAAGAACGTATGCTGTCATAATACTGCGTGACAACTTTGTTGCGCCCTTGCAGCTGTTTGTTCAAGTTATTCAGGTGCTCTGTAACATCCACCATAAATGCAAGGTCCGGCATCCATTCTGCGGAATGAAATTCTAACACTGGTTTGCCCTTTTCTTCCATGAACTGTTCAATCTCTTCTCGTAAATCAAAGAAACGCCTCAGCACAGCACCTCGGCTTAACCATCTTACCTCAGTGTGGTATGGCAGGCCATAGATGTGGTCTTTCTCTCTGAGAAGGCTGTCAAACTGACGGTGATTCAGGCTTCTGGATCGGATGAAATTAACAGTTTGGATGACCACCTTCATGACGTTATCCATCTTTAATGACTTGCAACACAAAGCCTCCTGGTGCAAAAGTCAGTGAAAAGTAAAAAAATCACGTCCTCCATTTGCAGATTGCACTTTCTCTCTGAACTTTGTCACAACGCCTGCTTTTTTCCCGATCATTGAGGGCGCACCATCTGTAGCCAGGCTGACAGCGCGGGACCAGTCCACTCCGACCCTGTCCAGCGCGCCGACGAGTGTGGTAAAAATATCAGCTGCTGTCGTTGTATCTGTCATCGGCACCAACTCCACGAACTCCTCGGTGACGGTCAATGTGTCATCAACTCCGCGGATGAAAAAATGGCCAGTTGTGCAACATCTGTAATGTCCGTGCTTTCATCAATTGCAACCGAAAACGCAATAAATGACTTTACTTTTTGCTTCAACTGGCTGTCCAAATCCACTGAAAGATCGGAAATCCTGTCTGCAACTGTGTTTCTTGTCAGGCTGATATTTGCAAAAGCCTGCCGCTTTTCAGGGCACACAATCTCCGCTGCCTTCATCATGCATGTTTTTACAAATTCACCCTCACCAAATGGTTTTGAAGCCACTGCGATTTCATTAGCAATGAGGTAGCTAGCTTTCACTGCAGCGTCACTGATGTCTCGGCTGTGAGTAAACACAGACTGCTGTTTCTTCAGACCCGCCAACAGTTCATTCACCTTCTCTCATCTCCGCTGTCCTTGAAAGTTGTCATATTTGTCGGCATGAAGACTCACATAATGGCGACGAAGGTTATATTCTTTCAGCACTGCAACATGCTCTGAACACACCAAACATACAGCTTTCCCATTCAATTCCGTGATTAAATAGGATGACCATTTTTCTTGGAACACTCTGCACTCTGCGTCCACTTTTCTCTTTTTTGACAGAGACATATTGGGGCAATGAGGGTGCCAAAGCACATAATGTTAAAAGTAGAAGCCGTAATAAATATCGCGGGCAAAACAAAGTAGCTCATTGGCTGCACGTGCTTGACCTACTTGCTCTGCCCCGGTATAAACAGTTTGCTTGCTTAACGCAATTGCTATTGGAACAGCAGTTTATTTTATTGAAAAATTGCAGCGCATTTTTTTTTTTTTCAAAATCATCTCGCGGGCCGGATTAAACCCGTTTGCGGGCCGAATCCGGCCCGCGGGCCGTACGTTTGACACCCCTGCACTAGATGTTGGAACATTGCTGCGGGGACTTGCTTCCATTCAGCCACAAGAGCATTAGTGAGGTCGGGCACTGATGTTGGGCGGTTAGGCCTGGCTCGCAGTATGTGTTCCAATTAATCCCAAAGGTGTTCGATGGGGTTGAGGTCAGGGCTCTGTGCAGGCCAGTCAAGTTCTTCCACACTAATCTCAACAAACCATTTCTGTATGGACCTCGCTTTGTGCACAGGGGCATTGTCATGCTTCAACAGGAAAGGGCCTTCCCCAAACTGTTTCCACAAAGTTGGAAGCACAGAATAATCTAGAATGTCATTGTATGCTGTAGCATTACGATTTCCCTTCACTGGAACTAAGGGGCCTAGCCCGAACCATGAAAAACAGCCCCAGACCATTATTCATCCACCAAACTTTACAGTTGGCACTATGCATTGGGGCAGGTAGCGTTCTCCTGGCATCGACCAAACCCAGATTCGTCCGTCGGACTGCCAGATGGTTAAGTGTGATTCCTCACGCCAGAGAACGCGTTTCCACTGCTCCGGAGTACAAAGGCGGGTGAACTTTACACCACTCCAGCCGACGCTTGGCATTGCGCATGGTGATCTTAGGCTTGTATGCGGCTGCTCGGCCATAGGAACCCATTTCATGAAACTTCCAACAAACAATTATTGTGCTGACGTTGCTTCCAGAGGTAGTTTGAAACTCGTAGCGAGTGTTGCAACCGAGGACCGACGATTTTTACGCGCTACGTGCTTCAGCACTTGGCGGTTCCGTTCATTGAGCTTGTGTGGTCTACCACTTCGCAGCAGAGCCGTTGTTGCGCCTAGATGTTTCCACTTCACAATAACAGCACTTATAATTGACCGGGGCAGCTCTAGCAGGACAAACATTTGATGAACTGACTTGTTGGAAAGGTGCCATCCTATGACGGTGCCACGTTGAAAGTGACTAAGCTCTTCAGTAAGGCCATTCTACTGCCAATATTTGTCTGTGGAGATTGCATGGTGGTGTGCTCGATTTTACACACCTTTTAGCAACGGGTGTGGGTGAAATAGCCGAATCCACTAATTTGAAGGGGTGTCCACATACTTTTGTATTTATAGTGTATCAACTCATACCACAGGCCACATCAACAAGACATGTGAGGCTGACTAACACCTGATACCGTCTATACTATAAAAGATATACAAATAGTTTCATGCCAATCTTAGCTCATTTGAGAGGGGGTCCAGACATGTATTTCTTGGTTGCCCTGTAACAAACCTGGCTGTAAATTGTCAATTCAAACAAATAAAACATGGTGAAATCTACCCATTTTAAAAGGGGTATGTGATTGTGGCAGATATCTGTTGGCCCATACGTGTATGTTTAGCTGTTTGTGTGTTATGTCATGATCCCCCACATTGTTAGCTCCCATTGCTCAGAGGGGCGGATCGTAGAGAGGCATCATTAGACTCATTTACCCAGCATTCCCCAGGGCCTTCCCAGGGGTCTTTCCCCTCCACTGATGCTGCAGTATTATTCATTAATCACACTGTTCCGGTCCTCTCCCTTGGCACTACTAGCTTGCTGGCTTGCCTATTTTTTCCTTTTGGGAATGGACATATAATCATTACCTTCAAAAACCTCCACATAGAACTGCTGAGTCGAAATTGATCACAGATTAAATGTTCTCAAATTAAAGATCTTCACAGATAGATATTAAGCTTTTTGTGACCATTATAACTGCAATTAGGTGTTGTTAAACTGTGAGTTGTATTACCTATATGATGATTAGGCTATTCCTCAACAAAGCAATGAATGTGTATTTAGATTGATTATCCTTGTTCTAATTCTGCATAATCATTCCAAAAATTATACTATTTTAAAGAAGTTATAAAGAGGTTGCTTAACTAAACAGACAATGTTTCATCAAAAACTTCAGAAGTGTTTGAAAGTGTGCAAAAGAAACCTAGGTTTGTGTTCTAGAATGTTGTAGACCTACTACAATTATTACCACTTGAGGTCGCTGTAGGTTTGGAAATTGCATCACATCAAAACAAACTATAGCCTTTACATTATAGCCTACCACTTACAATAACCAGATGCTAGTTAGTATTGGTAACATCTACCTATCTCATCACGAATGTGTTATCAACTCTTGTCAGAGTTAATTGCTACAATTTTGAATAAGTATGAATGTATCATGCTTATTAGGCTATTACAAGAAAATGATGCCTGAAAATAAGAAACACATTTTTTTGCACAAAACAATCTCATTATATTGCATTTCCAATAAGCTGCATGACTTGATAGCATGGACAAAATACTACACACAGCAGCATTGACGACTACAGCCTAACACAATGTGGGAGAAAGGAGTGGGAGTTAAATGGAGGAAGGTCGGATGGGTGGAAGGATGGAAAGGCACAAAAAAACAGAAAGGGTGACAGGGAGATGAAGATTGGAGTGGGGACTTGAAATGATGACTCATGTAATTGACCGCTGATGACTACGCTACAAACATTCTGTCAGACACACAAACGCACATGCTTCCTCACGACAACCATCAAAGACAGCCAGACAAGACTGAGACAAAGGTGACTGAAAAGATAACTGCCGCCGTCTTCGTTCTCGAAAACCTAGACATGTAAGTTCTCTTCTCAATAGCCAAATTGCATCTTACATTGATTGCTGTTTACATGAACCATTCTAATAAGCGGTGTGACCTAATATTGGTCTGTTGAGTTGTGTGCATAACCAACATTTGGTGTATGGCTTAAAACAAAGCATGCGTAAGTGATAGTCTGGCTCATTCTCTAAAAGTGTGGTCTGTATCAATCATCCATCTAGTATTCTATGGTATATCATTTTTATTGTCCGATTTTATCGTAGATTGTTCTTGTGCTGGACATATCGGGGGAATACAGCGCATTGATGGTGGTGTACGATTGTGTCATGGAAGCCACCTGCCCCCGTACCTCCCTTTCTCGCCTCGGATCTCCGCTGACAGTAACTGTGCTGTCCACTATGCATTTGCACTAAATACAGTGAAAGTGAACTGGTAAGAGGAGAAGAAATGAAAGGCCAACCACGGCTGTCCCTGGTTGCCTTCTCGGCAGTACTGTTCTGTGTGTGCCGCGCGACAATCGTCTCCAACTGGACACGCGGCAGCCGCGACGCGCAATCACCATCAGCATCTTCATCAGACGAGGGAAGCGAGAAGGACGTGGGTGTCTCCCCAAACTCTGGCCAACAGCATATCTACAATGTTGATTATTTCAGTAAGAATGAAACAATGGGCACACCAAAGCCGCAGGGGGACCTCAGCCATAGGAATGGCACTATCTCCATCAAAACCAGTAGAGGCAATACAGGCACAACTATGATATTTGGCAGGCCAGACCATGTGCAAGGTGGAACAGGTTGGGCCATGGATGTAGGAGTGGCACCAATATGTGCCTACCGGGTGATGGAAGGGGGAATCGGGGGGCGGCTGTGTTTTCGACACACACAGCTGGGGTTCAGGTGTCGTCGTGGAGACTGCCGGACTGTTCCGTCTGCAGGAGGGTCCCTGGTGGCCAACATTTTGACCAACGGCAGCGTGCTGCTACAGTGGACATACGAAGATCTGAGGGGAGAGGCTCAAGGGACAACCAAAGGAAACACAGCTGGACATGACCTACGTAAACAAGAGACAGAGACTAGAGAAACAAGTGTAGAGGGACAGAAAGGGGCCCCTGGGACAGGGCTTGGGGAAGAGAGCAGGTTTGTGACTGCCCCACCAAAGAGGGTATTCAGTGGACGACGTGTCAGAAGGGGTGGGTTTGGGCTAAGCTGCTGGTGGAACGGGAGCTACACCCAGTTTGAGTGTGCTAACACCCATCTTGGCTCTGGTTGCAGGGACTTCATGCTGACTGAGCTGCATGAGAACGTCCCCTACCGCATCTGCCTGCATCCGCTTGCCTCCACCCTGACCCCACCGCCCCACTCAGAAGGAGCAGGCCAGAGGGAGGACTGTGTGGAGTTCACTGTCTCACCCTTGGACATGCAGGACATTGTGATTGCCATGACAATGGTGGGAGGAGCCATATGTGTGATGCTGGTCATCATCTGTCTGCTGGTGGCATACATCACTGAGAACATCATGAGCCCCACGACACAGCACTCACACTCCACATACCACACACACTCTCACCACTAATGTCACTCACACAAACATGTAACCTTATTCCACAATATCACACTCATTTATTTTAATCCCACAACTAAATCAATACACTAAAAACCCATTTATGTAACATACTGTGGTTGAACACCCACACACACGTAATAAAAATCTCACTCAGATTCAGGGCATTGCACCTTACACACCACACCAATCTGCAAGCTTGTGGAAGAATGATGAACTAAGCCTCACAACAGACCACCACACTTTCAAGTAGTATTAAATACTTTTCAAATGATAGGGGTCAGAGAATTCCCTGTGTGTGCATTAATGTGTGTGTTTATTTTCCTCTTGTGTATTTATCTCATTAGCCTTTCTGCTAGTAATCAAAGTGCTCTGTATTAGCGATAGTAAGCTGCTAGTCAGTAGACCTACCTAAGAGTGAAACATGTTCCATAGTTGAGCAACGTTATGAACCAGTATTTAGAACGATTCCTCTCTTCTTTGGAGTCCAGTTATAATGCCTTAGACCGCTGCGCTCCCGAGTGGCGCAGCGGTCTAAGGCACTGCATCTCAGTGCTTGAGGCATCACTACAGACCCCCTGGTTTGATTCCAGGCTGTATCACAACTGGCTGTGATTGGGAGTCCCATAGGGCGGTGCACAATTGGCCCAGCGTCGTCCAGGTTTGGCCGGTGTAGGCCGTCACTGTAAATAAGAATTTGTTCTTCACTGACTTGCCTAGTTAAATAAAATAAAAAATATATTCGCTATGATTACCTCTGTTCAGTGGTAAGTAATAAGTGCAAGCCAAGTAGGTAATTTATTTAATGATTTCTTCCTTTTTTAACTCAGAGAGGGTTAATTTAATTAATGTCAACAATGCACCCTCAGGCACCCAAGAATGATTCCTATTTGCCTTACCTTCTCCTGGCTGTAGAGATGTATACTGAACATCCCTGTTAGTGAGCATTTCTCGTTTGCCAAGATAATCCATCCACCTGACAGGTGTGGCATATCAAGAAGCTGATTAAACAGCATGATCATTACACAGGTGCACCTTGTGCTGGGGACAGAAAAAGGCCACTCTAAAATGTGCAGTTTTGTCACACAACACAGTGGGCCTGGCTCCCAAGTGGGTGGGCCTATGCCCTCCCATGGCTGCACCCCTGCCCAGTCATGTGAAATCCATAGATTAGGGCCTAATTTATTTATTTCAATTGACTGATTTCCTTATATGAACTGTAACTCAGTAAAATCGTAGAAATTGTTGTGTTTATATTTTTGTTCAGTATATGTTGTACACCTTGGACAGGCTGGTCTGCTCTGCAGTCTGCCAAATATAATGTGCCCAACCTCTAGTTTAGGAGGCCCTGTGGAATCAATAAAACACTGCGAGAATATGATGTGTGTATGTGTAAATGGGTAAAGAAAAATATTATTATTTGTATCTATCTATCCATCCATCCATTGTACAAATAAAATATAGAATGCTATGCCTAGGCTTTTTGTACAATTAACGTAGGATAAATGTGGCACAGTGGCTGTCTGTTTTCCAGCATCATCAGGGCTTGAGGACGCTGAGAAGTTTACGTTTGGATGACGTCATGCATGCACAGGAGGAAAAAAATCCCTTTGGCGTGAAGCCCTGCCCCCTATGACATCAGCTGCAAAACCTTGGTTAAAAGTCCCCGCCGCCATTTTAACAGGCTTACGGAAAGAAGATTGTCACATCGCCTTGAAATATTTATACCTCGTTGTATTTGCTTAGTTAGCGAGATCGAAGGCCTTCCCCGCAGGCTTTTTGTGATAGTTACATTTCTACCACATTTAAAGTTGTGTGTTGTACTTTCTGAACATTCGATTGCTAGTTCTTTTAGAAAAATAGCATTCGCAATGCCGAGCCACCCGCTGCGCGTGGCGGTTGTGTGCTCGAGCAACCAGAACCGCAGCATGGAAGCGCACAACATCCTCAGGTAACATTACTGGACGAAAACTAAACAACGACGACATACTACGAAGCCAGCACCTTTGATTTTCAGCGGCCTGGGTATTTTACCTGGCTGAGAGCTCACCCTCTTCAACACAACAATGGGCTCGCTACGCAGACCGCGGTCTGTTTCCGGCAAACGACGCATTTTATTGCAATACACAATAATGACTAACTTCCATATTTACAAGACAGAGACGTGTGCTTAATTTTTTCATCAAGCTCAACTTGTTCCCAGTGTCACACATGGCGATAAAGCAAATTAATTTTTTTTCTCGCCGGTCTACCGGAAGTAGGGCATTTTTAGTTCAATGCAGTGGCCATCCGCATAGCATATAGTGGAATCGGTGAGGGTAACCAGAAGTGGTCTAGTGATAATTTTTTGTGTTGCTGTTGGTCAGAGGGAGAAGGCGCTCAGAGTTAAACAAATGGGGCAAATAATTGTGAATTGTTTCGCTCTCAAGAAAAGGGTGCCTTTGAAAGGAGTGATTACTGGGGTAGCAGTAAATGTAAAAGTTGACCAACTGAAGGGGAATATTCCCGGTGTTTGTGATACTCGACGTTTGGTGCGACGCAAACAGGGTGGGGAAACAGAAGAGTCATTGTCTGTTCTTTTGAGTTTTGAAGTTGAGTCTTTGCCTGACAAAGTGAAGTTAGGATATATAACTTATCCAGTACGCGCTTATGTGCCGAATACATTACGATATTACAGGTGTCAAACTTATGGACATGTGGCAGCAGTGTGTAGGAGGGAGGTTCCAAGGTGTGAGAAGTGTGCAGAACGGCATGAGACAAAGGAATGTGTAGTATTGGGGAAAGCAGTGGTATGTGCTAATTGTAGGGGTGGCCATGGGGCTGGGGATCAGACATGTCCAGTGCGAGAGAAGCAGGTTGTGGTTTCCAGGGTAAGGGTAGAGAAGATGTCATATGCGGAGGCAGTGAAGAAAGTAGAGGGGGGGGGGGGGGGGGGAGAGTAGGAGATATATACCAGTACAGTGGGATAGGCAAGCAAGTGATATGTTTCAGTAAGATTGGGGGTTTTAGCGTTTATAGCAATGGTTATTAATTGTACTGCAGGAATGGAACGTAGGTTGAAGAAAATTGAGGTTGTGGTGGCAGCTGCAGAGAGGTATTTGGGTGTGCGAGACTTGACATCAGAAGAGTTACAGGGAGTGTTAAGTGGTGATGTCCCATCATTTCAGGTTGAGGGCATGAGGTAGGAATGAATATATTTAAATAGTGGAGTAGGGTGGTGTTAATTATTAATAATATTTTTGCATTTGTGAGTGTAGTGTTAGATGGTAGGATATTAAAAAAAAAATCTAGCAAAATATAAGGGAGTTGTACTCCAGTTTAGTAGGTGGCGGTTATGCAACAAATTGGATGCCAACCGCCGTTAAACCTCATCGAAGAAGAACATCCGCATAGCCGCAGTCAGTCACTAGCTGGAGGTAGCTAGATCAAACTCTGTGGCTAGAACTAGGCAACCAACCAGTCAACTACCTGAAATTGTAAAAGGATGGTAACAAATAGGGAGACCTGCCATGCATCACCTACAATTTACTTTCAGGTTCGGGATTATTCCATGAAAGCGTCATAAAGTAATTGTCACTCAGCCTCTACATTCAAAATTGAGAAACTTTTTAGGCAGGGTAAAGGCCAAATCAAACGCGAACGAGCATTGCTTCGTGTAGACGCGAGAGAAATAGACTTGCTTTCTAATTTGTAGCGCATGAAGCTTTTGACGGCGTTGTCGCTCACGAGCGGTGTGTTTTCTGTCATTCACTACCGTGCATTCGAATTCCAGCGTGTTCACGTTTCGTTTGATTCGGCCTTTGTACACACTGGAATTTGAATGCATGATAGTGAATGACAGAAAAAAAGACGGGCTGTTGAAAGCGTCATGCGCTTCAAATTAGAAAGCAATTCTATTTTTCCCGCGTCTAGGCGAAGCAATGCTCGTTCGCGTTTCGTTTGATTTGGCTTTAACACTAAACAAATGTTAGACTAATTTGTAATTTTACTGAGTGAAAAAAAAAGAACTGGAAAATCTCAATGCATGGAGAGAGCCTGCCTATTGGGGAATGACTCCTGTGATGGGGCTCTTGAGATTAGATTTTCATGTCTTGTATGTGCTTGTCTGTAAGTAACCATCTTTCCCCCCTTCATTCTTTGTCTATACAGCAAGCGAGGCTTTGAAGTGCGCTCATTTGGGACAGGGTCCCATGTGAAGCTACCGGGTCCCGCACCGGACAAGCCCAATGTGTACGACTTCAAAACCACTTATGAACAGATGTACAACGACCTGGTCCGCAAGGACAAGGAGCTGTATCCCCTGCACTCTTCCATTCACACACAGACACAACATAAACACAGCCCTACCTCTTGTTTCTTTTCTCCAGTGAGTTATTCTCTTTATCTTCACTGGAAAATATACAAAATTAGATATATGAAATTATTAAGGGTGACTGAACAGGGAAGTGTATTTCATAGTGTTGCTTGTTGGGTGATTTTGTAGTAAAGGATGTACTTCACTAACCTGATCTCAGATCTGTTTGTGCTCTTGCGAACACCATTGCTGCCCATGTCAATCCGAACATTGGCGTGACAGTGAATGACACGAAGTTGGTATGATAGCACATACAGACTGCCACTCAGGCTAGTCCATTACATCTATTTTTGAGATTTATCACATGCTGTCACAATGCTTTTTCTAACAACGAGTGGGGTTCATGGAAGATTTCACTTTCAGCAGGTTTCAACATGTAAACAAGTAGCCATTTACCCTCTATAACCAGGTAGGTTGTTTCTGGGCCCAGAAACCAAAACTTCTAGGGAACATATCCCAGTCTTTCCATATCAAGACCAGGATGTAGACTTTAAACAAAAGAGAAGGGCTGGTTTGTAGAGCACTATATGTATTCGACCCAACTAGTAGTCAGTGTAGTTTTTAAATCTTGCATTTTGATTGGCCAAGGGCACTATTTTTGAATGTGAACATAATAGGCATACATTCATACGACAACTCTGGAACCCACATGGACCAACCTTAACTGGACTCCTCCCTTTACATCTGAGGAAATGTGATAGGTTTAAGCACTAAGGTGAAAAGGTGGTGCAATTACCATATTGTAGATGCCTATTAAATCCTCTCAGATCTACTGAAGTACATGGTGGGGTAGGGGCTAGCAATATATTTGGGATTCAGCGTAAGGCTGAATTATTTGAGACAGTTCAGTGTTAGAAGGCGTGCTCACTAGTGTTTTGGGGTGGGTATGGTTTAAGATGTATTTTAAAATGTACAAAAAAGTATGTTTTTGCGCAAGGAGATATCTGCATGCTAGTAAAAAGAAGGGGGTATATATTAGTTGTTAGTGGGAACACCATAGCACTCCTTTCACTGCCCAAGTTACTATTTGGGAGTATACAAGAGTGGGCCCTTATCCTTACAATGCAGCCAAGAATTTGAGATATTTTCTTGACTACTCTCAAAAATAGCAAATTTTCTCACTTTAAAATGAGTAGATAATGAAGGTGAGTTTATCTAGAATATTGCACTGGTAGTTCAAGTTATTAGAGGCCAGTTACAATCAGAGTTATTAGAGGTTGTTAGCAAAAATGTGTTAGAAGCTTCCAAAGATCAAATACTCAGATTTCGTTTTGTATGAGTTTTGGCCTCTAGAGGGCGTTGTCTGATGATTCTCAGTGACTTGACTAACCTTGTGTCATATATTTTCATAGATCACTTAGTGTTTGAGGTCTTGTGTGTTGGTCCCTCGTCTTGCTGTGTTCCTTGACCCTCAGCACCTCAGATACACACAGAATGGAATCCTGCACATGCTGGACCGCAACAAGCGGATCAAGTCCCGACCGGAACGCTTCCAGAGCTGTAAGGACCAGTTTGACCTGGTCATCACCTGTGAGGAGAGGGTCTATGACCAAGTGCTGGAGGGTGAGAGGGGACCAGGGACAGAAGGGGGGCTTCTCATGTCAAGTTGTGAACTATCAAATAGAAATGGAGTTTAATGCATGTGAAACACAACAGAAATAGTGAATACACTTACAATAAAGCATGCATAATTACTAAGTTACAGTCTAGGGCTAGGTCACTCTGGCTTCATGTTGATCGACGATCACTATTCTCCCCAATCTCTCCCACTTAGACCTGAGCTCTCGGGAGCAGGAGACCTTCACGCCGGTTCACGTCATCAACGTGGATATCCAGGACAACCACGAGGAGGCCACACTGGGGGCTTTCCTCATCTGTGAGCTGTGTCAGTGTGTGAGTGTCTCTGCCTGCCTGGCCACCAGCAACCACTATCCCAGGGTTACACTGTTACATTTTAGTCATTTAGCAGACGCTCTTATCCAGAGCGACTTACATGAGCAATTAGGGTTAAGTGCCTTGCTCGAGGGCACATCGACAGATTTTTCACCTAGTTGGCTCGGGGATTAGAACCAGCGACCTTTCGGTTACTGGCACTACGCTACCTTCCGCCCCACATTGTCATAGCATGAATGTCAGGGATATACAGTGGCTTGCGAAAGTATTCACCCCACTTGGTATTTTTCCTATTTTGTTGCCTTACAACCTGGAATTAAAATGGATTTTTGGGGGGTTTGTATCATTTGATTTACACAACATGCCTACCACTTTGAAGATGCAAAATATTTTTTGTTGTGAAACAAACAAGAAATAAGACAAAAAAACAGACCTTGAGCGTGCATAACTATTCACCCCCCCCCCCAAGACTGTTTCCCTCAAGACAGGTTTCCTTGTATTTAGCACCATCCATCATTCCTTCAATTCTGACCAGTTTCCCAGTCCCTGCCGATGGAAAAACAGCCCCACAGCATGATGCTGCCACCACCATGCTTCACTGTGGGTATGGTGTTCTCAGGGTGATGAGAGGTGTTGGGCTTGCGCTAGACATAGCGTTTTCCTTGATGGCCAAAAAGCTAAATTGTAGTCTCATCTGACCAGAGTACCTTTTTCCATATGTTTGGGGAGTCTCCCACATGCCATTTGGCGAACACCAAACGTGTTTGCTTATTTTTTTCTTTAAGCAATGGCTTTTTTCTGGCCACTCTTCCGTAAAGCACAGCTCTGGCGTGTACAGCTTAAAGTGGTCCTATGGACAGATACTCCAATCTCCGCTGTGGAGCTTTGCAGCTCCTTCAGGGTTATCTTTGGTCTCTTTGTTGCCTTTTTTAATGCCCTCCTTGCCTGGTCTGTGAGTTTTGGTGGGCGGCCCTCTCTTGGCAGGTTTGTTGTGGTGCCATATTCTTTCCATTTTTTAATAATGGATTTAATGGTGCTCAGTGGGATGTTCAAAGTTTCGGGTATTTTTTTATAACCCAACACTGATCTGTACTTCTCCACAACTTTGTCCCTGACCTGTTTGGAGAGCTCCTTGGTCTTCATGGTGCCGCTTGCTTGGTGGTGCCCCTTGCGTAGTGGTGTTGCAGACTCTGGAGCCTTTCAGAACCGGTGTATATATACTGCGATCATGTGACACTTAGATTGCACACAGGTGGACTTTATTTAACTAATTCTGTGACTTCTGAAGGTAAAGGGTTGCACCATATCTTATTTAGGGGCTTCATAGCAAAGGGGGTGAATACATATGCACGCACCACTTTTCCGTTATTTATTTTTTATAATTTTTAGAAACAAGTTTTTTATTTTTATTCCACTTCACCAATTTGGACTATTTTGTGTATGTCCATGACATGAAATCCAAATAAAAATCCATTTAAATTACAGGTTGTAATGCAACAAAATAGGAAAAACACCAAGGGGGATGAATACTTTTGCAAGGCCCTGTATGGTAGTATGGGTACAAACTCCTGTGGTGCTTAGTGGCACGTTGTTGCTACAGTGGGAAATGTATTCCGCAAGATACATAGTGTATCTGAAGATAATGATTTGGGACGTAGATGTGCAAATTATGTTGGTGATAAATACATACATAATGTTGTATGTGTAAGCGGTATAATGTCACTGTAATTTTATTACACTGAGCCCTAAAGTGTATGGATGTCTTGCCTTGACCCATGTAGCAGGTGTTGTATGTCTGACCTTCCCTCTCTCAGATCCAGCACACGGATGATATGGAAAATGAGATGGACGAGCTGCTGCAGGAGTTTGAGGACAAGAGCAACAGGCCTTTCCTCCACACTGTCTGCTTCTACTGATGCCCATGCTACCAAATCTGCAATATCATACGCCCCCTGACCAAACATGCACGTTTATACACAGGTTCATGCACACTTCCATATACACTTACTGATTACCTTTCACATACATACACACACACACACACACCCTCTGCTGTTGGTCAGGGCTGAGGGGACAGGGTTGAATGCTCTCTGCTCTCAAGTAGGCAGGCTCATCCCTCCTGCTCTACCTTTCCTCAGGGCCAAGGTGGGCCCAAGGTCCTCCCCCTTCTTACAGTGAAACCACTGACCCGCCTTCCCACAAAGAGAAATGCCCCTTTTGTCAAACATGTCCTCCTCTACCTCTAAAGTATTGCACAGTGATGCTGATTGCAGAGTAACAATGATTTGAGTTCCTTTTTAAGAATGATGAATAGATAGTTTTTATTAAGAATGATTTGTCGCCTTTACTCTTGATTGTGGAGAGTAGTATTGTTGACATGGATGGGATAGCGGAGACTGGTTAGGCATGAATGTGTTTCAGTGTGTGAGTGTGTACCAGTAGTTAATTAGGAATTAATCTAAATAGGGGGCAAATAATTAACCAAATAGAGACCACAAGGTTCTCTTTGCCCTCCTCATTTCCATTATGTTTTGATTCATATTTAAAAACTCAGAAGATTTGCTACCTTTTCCGGGTGTAATATTTTTTTTCTTTTGTAAACTGAAAAGAATGAAAATATTGTAATTATTTGCAAGCTGAGAGCTCAGTCCAGAGTGCCTGAATATTTCTGTATGTACATATGAATCCATTAAATGAATAAACATCTATAGAAAAAACTTGATGGATGCACCATCTCTCTGCATGCAGATGGAATATTTTAATCAACAAATGTACCTTGTCAAGATTCTATAGTCCAATGACAGCATTCATAAAGATGGCAAAAAATGGCCTCTTCCATCTGCTGATGCTCATGTCCATGGCAACATGATACTGTGTATACCTTTTCAAATATGTGTTTTATCCTAGGCCTTTTTAAGCAGTTGCCCATCGCGTTAACAGCATGCCCATTAAAATGTTCAGTCCTGAGCTTACTCTAATTTCTACTGACTAATGATGAGCAATACAGTTGTTATATTCGGTGCACAGAAACAATTGAGTGGCGGGAACACAGTAGCCTGGCTCACCTTGAGTTGCACATGGAATGTAATAATGTCTGAGAGTATTATTTGACTGATGCAGCAGTTTGTTCATACTGGGAGAGGAGAGGGAAGGATGGGAGGGCTGCAAGGTCATTGATTTATGGTTAATGCAAAAAGGAAATCACCAGAGACAGAACTAGGGTTAAACTAACGTGACAGTCCCATATCCTAACCTCCCTCTGTCATCTCTAGTGACATAAATGGATAATGACCTTGTCCTGGCCTTATCTTACTATAGGCCTATAAGACCAGGGTGGTTTGGTTTGTCATAGGCTATATAATAAGGCAAAACCAGATTCTGTGACATTTTAGATTTCAGGTGACTAGTGTAAGCCTACGAAACATGGTGGAAATTCCCCATAGCCCATGCTATACCAATCCAATGTGTTTAAAAGTGTGGGGAGGACAGAGAACTGGAGCGCAGGGAGGGTCACTATACATGCCTTCTGCCTGCAGAGCCACACCATCAACAACACAGGTGCAATCCCCCACGGCCGTGGTGCAAAATCCACTCGTAATGATGCTGACCATGGTGCTATATCGTTAGCTGGCGCTGTTCATGGTGCTGAATTGTTTATATGTACGACCTTATAAGGAGACACTGGTTTCCCGCAGGTTAGAGTCAGGACAACATTATGAAAAAGCCTTTCAATATGTGACATTCTATTATTCACCATGTCCGATACAGGGCTGGCATTCCCGGGGGCCCCCAATCCACTCAAGACCAATTCATCTTCCTCTTGCTTGCTTTTCCCTGATAGACGTCGGCAATAAAGTGAATGTGTTGTCACAAACAAAGCCCAGCACAACATAATGATGTAGCATACATAAATGAACTACAATGTCAGAGAGAGAGAGAGAGAGTATCCATATCAGTTTAGTTAATTCGTTGTTTATTTATGTTGAAGCATGCTATCATCATTAACATAAACTAAACCCTTGACATATGAATATGCTGGCCTACTAAGCTTTTGAGTGCACATTTGTGGCGGAAATTGATACAGCCTATAATTTGTGTCTCTGTAGGAGCCTAACAATGCCTCGGCTATTATCAACTGGAATGCACAGTGGGAGGCTCCATTCTCTCTTTCAGCTGCGCCAAAGTAGCCTATCCTGTCGGATTATGAGAAATTATAGATAGCCTGACAGTGAACAAACACCTTCTAGAGGGAGCTAACACGGAAAACGACCTGATACGAGAAGAAAACATGAATTGATGCCTCCTTGCCTAATGCTAGTGGATGCGTCCAGGTAAATAGGCTACACCAGGAACACTGTGCAGAGGCTGGCATCACAACAACGCATGGATCGCGACTTCGTCCTGCTATCTTCTGTGTTGCGGTGCTCTGGAATAGCCTAACAATAATTTTTCTGACATACGCTACAGCTTTCACACCACGCCTCCCCGTTGCACGCACCTCGATTAACCATATTCGCCCGTGCACCGTGTGCTTTTCAAAAGGGAGCGAAAAAGAGACTGGTCCGCATCTCCTCATGTCGCTGAGAAAGGAACATCGGATAGACGATGCAAGGATGGGTGGTTGGACACTGATGCTGCATCCATGAGCGCATTCACTTCAGAGTGTTGTTTTTCGGCCCAGGTACCACAGGATAGATCTGGAGAGAGAACAAGAAACTGCTGTTGGGAAGTTTTGATGCGAACGGGCACAACCACCATTACCTTTATGATTTTTGGGGCTTTACTTGTGATGGTAAGAAGAACACGGTTATCCTCATTCCCCACACTCCCTTATGTGTAAACATTTAATCTGTTCAAAGCTTTCAAAGGGATATTTCAAACGACCTAGACAACAACGTGGTCTACATGAGGCGACACAATCAATAAACAAACTGTCAAGCGAAAACATTTTTTCTGGAGTAGCTACACTTAATTATTTTTTGAATTTAGATTTTTGTCTTATCTACCTGAAAAGTCGGGCAACAGATGCTGTTATGGGAATGTGGCTTGTTTTGTCCTTCTTGACTTCAGTGGTTCTTTTCAGGCTGCAGCGTGTCTAACGGACATGAACGCGCTACTGGACCGCTTTCACAACTATATCTTACCACATTTACGAGGAGAGGACCACGTCTGCCATTGCAACTGTGGAAGGTAAAACAAACTTTCCAAAAGAATGGGATTTAAAGTTATGCAAAACAAGAGCATGAGTAAACCGTTGGTTTAAAACTGCACTGTAAAACCATGCGTTTAGGATCTGAGCACAGAACTAAACACTTCTGTAACACTTTTTAAACGCATCAAGGCATTTAGAATATCAATGATAACGCGTCACAGTGTTTAGATTGTAAACACCAGAACATGTTTATTCGATGTAACACTTTTAAACACATTCAGCACAAGGCGTTTATGTTTTAAACACTAAACACTGGGGGTGTTATTTTAAACTCCCTTTCCTTTAACACTGTAGGGTAAAGCCATATTTGCATACTTCCCAGCATGCCTTTCGAGTGAATGTGAGCGATACCCACCAATGACTGTGTTTAATAGTGGCAGAGGCATGGTTGTTGCATTCAATAACTTCTATTCCTGAAGCCTTCACCTAGTGATTGCCTATGTGAATGTGTTAAAATTAAATGTAAACTCTTTATGAACACAAATTATACATTTCATCCCATAAGTTATGACCTTGTTATTGACATTGTGGTTTGAAAAAAATCCTGTCTCATGGGCCACATCAGACCTGCAAGTCACAATAGGCTGGTTTGTGAAGTGATTAATAATTCCTATCGGAATCCAGCCAGAGGGAGGATATCCAATACTTTTTATATTTTATCACCCACAACCTGCACTCAGAATGACTGCTATGGTGAAGGACTAAACAAACACGACTACCTAAAATATCTAAACTGGAACAACCATCTCAGTAATGGGTGCAATAAGTCCAACCCCTTACAGAGTGGATCAGTTTAGACAAATGTAAGTTATTTATCTCAAAACAAATGTTTATTTGTCACAGGTGCTGAATACAACTGGTGTAGACTTTACCGTGAAATGTTTGCTTAGGAGCCCTTCCCAACAATGCAGAGTTTAAAGATAAAAATAAAATAGTAACACAATAGGAATAAAATAAAATACACAAAAATGGAGCTATGTACAGGGAGTACCAGTACTAAGTCAATGTGCCGAGGTATGAAGTAAATGAGGTAGATATGTACATGAAGGCAGGGTAAAGTGACAAGGCATCAGGATAGATAATAATAAGAGTAACATAAAGAACAGAGTAGCAGCAGCAAATGTTGAGTGTAAAAGTGTGTGTGTGTGTGTGTGTGTGTTTGTGTTGTGTCGGTCTGCGTTTGTGTGTTATCTGTGTGTGTGTGTATGTAGTGTATGGGAATGTGTGTGGGTTTTGTGTGGGAGTGTCAATGTAGTGTGTGTGAGTGAGCGTGTATATGGTTAGTTTACAGCATGTAGTCTAGTGAGTGTGCGTAGGGTCAGTGCAAGATAGAGTCAGAACAACTAGTTTGGGTACCATTAATTTATTACTTAGCAGTATGGCTATTTAGCAGTCTTATGGCTTGGGGGTAGAAGCTGTCTCGGAGCCTGTTGGTCTGAGAGCTGATGCTCCGGTACCGTTTCTCAGATGGTAGCAGAGTGAACAGTCTATGGCTTGGGTGGCTGGAGTCTTTGGCAATTCTTTGGGCCTTTATCTGACTCCGCCTGATATAGAGGTCTCGGATGGCAGGGACCTCGGCCCCAGTGATGTACCGGGCTGTCCGCACCACCCTCTGTAGCGTTTTGGGGTCAATGGCGGTGCATTTGCCATACCAAGTGGTGCAGCTGTATAACTTTTTGAGGATCTGAGGGCCCATGCCAAATCTTTTCAGCCTCTTGAGGAGGAAGAGGTGCTGCCGTGCCCTCTTCATGACTGTGTTAGGGTGTGTGTGGAACCATGTTAGGTCCTTAGTGATGTGGACGCCAAGGAACTTGAAGCTCTCGACCCACTCCACAACAGCCCAGTCGATGTGGATGGGGGCGTGCTCTACCCTCTTTCTCTTATAGTCCACGATCAGCTCCTTGGTCTTACTGAAGTTGAGGGACAGGTTGTTGTCCTGGCACCACACTGCTAAGTCTCTGACCTCCGTACCCTCACCACCTGGGAGCAGCCCGTCAGGAAGTCCAGGATCCAGTTGCAGAGGGAGGGGTTCAGTCCCAGGGTCCCTAGCTTGGTGATTAGCTTGGAGGGGACTATGGTGTTGAACGCTGAGCTGTAGTCTATGAACAGCATTTTCACATAGTTATTTCCCCTCTTGTCCAGGTGGGAGACGGTAGTGTGAAGTGCAATTGAGATTGCGTCATCTGTGGATCTGTTGGGGCAGTATGCGAATTGAACTGGGTCTAGGGTGTCTGGGATGTTGGTATTGATGTGTGTCATGACCAGCCTTTCAAATAACTTCATAATTACAGATCTGAATGCTACAGGGTGATAGTCATTTAGGCAGGTTACCTTGAAGCGCTTGGGAACACGGACAATGGTGGTCAGCTTGAAACATGTTGGGATTACAGACAAGGATAGATTGAAAATGTCTGTGAAGACACTTGCCAGCTGGTCTGCGCCCTGGTATTCCGTCTGGCCCTGCAGCCTTGTGATTGTTAACCTGTTTAAACGTTTTGCTCACATTGGCCATGGAGAGCGAGATCACACAGTCATCTGGAAAAACAGGGGCTTTCACGCAAGGCACAGTGTTATATTCCTCAAAACGAGCATAAAAGGCATTTAGCTCATTTGGGAGTTCTGCATTGCTGGGCAACTCATGGCTGGGATTCCCTTTGTAATCCGTTATTGTCTGCAAGCCCTGACACATACGATGAGCATCTGAGCCGGTGTAATAGGATTCCACCTTTCTCCTATATTGTTCTTTCGCATGTTTGATGTCTCGTCGGATGCCGTAGCAGGCTTTCTTGTATGTGTCCATGTTCGTTTCCCGTTCCTAGCCTTTAGCCCAGCGCGGATATTGCCTGTAATCCATGTTTTTTTGGTTTGGATACATTCTTATAGTCACTGTGTAGTGTATGTAATAATAATAATAATAATATGCCATTTAGCAGACGCTTTTATCCAAAGCGACTTACAGTCATGTGTGCATACATTTTTACTTATGGGTGGTCCCTGGGATCGAACCCACTACCCTGTCGTTACAAGCGCCATGCTCTACCAATTGAGCTACAGAGGACCGCCCATATGTATAGTATACAATCAATATAGTTTAAGATCAATTAATCAATCATCCATTAATCAATGCATGAGGAAACATAGATATTAAAACAAAACTATTATTAAAATCAACCTGCAACAAAGCATGCTGGAAATATAATATTGAGGCAACTCCCACATATTTTTCTATATGAGAGAGTAAATGGAAATGAACACAGTTGAGTAACAAAAACACCACACGATTCTAAAGATTTCTTGAATCAAATGTCCTGTTCAGTTGTGCTGAAATATAGGTAAGGTGACAGATATTCCTAACACTGATCTGAATAAAAGGCATGGAAAGTCACTACAATTTCTAATAACTAAATGCACCATAAACAGGACAATGGGAAAGTAAACACTACTGTTTAAAATCTGAATACTTAGGAGATACAGTTGAAGTCGGAAGTTTACATACACCTTAGTCAAATACATTTAAACTCAGTTTTTCACAATTCCTGACATTTAATCCTAGTAAAAATTCCCTCTTAGGTCAGTTAGGATCACCACTTTATTTTAAGAATGTGAAATGTCAGAATAATAGTAGAGAGAATGATTTATTTCAGCTTTTATTTATTTCATCACATTCCCAGTGGGTCAGAAGTTTACATACACTCAATTAGTATTTGGTAGCATTGGCTTTAATTTGTTTAATTTGGGTCAAACATTTCGGGTAGCCTTCCACAAGCTTCCCACAATAAGTTGGGTGAATTTTGGCCCATTCCTCCTGACAGAGCTCGTGTAACTGAGTCAGGTTTGTAGGCCTCCTTGCTCGCACACACTTTTTCATTTCTGCCCACAAATGTTCTATAGGATTGAGGTCAGGGCTTTGTGATGGCCACTCCAATACCTTGACTTTGTTGTCCTTAAGCCATTTTGCCACAACTTTGAAAGTATACTTGCGGTCATTGTCCATTTGGAAGACCCATTTGCGACCAAGCTTTAACTTCCTGACTGTCTTGAGATGTTGCTTCAATATATCCACATAATTTTCCTTCCTCATGATGCCATCTATTTTGTGAAGTGCACCAGTCCCTCCTGCAGCAAAGCACCCCCACAGCATGATGCTGCCACCCCCATGCTTCACGGTTGGGATGGTGTTCTTCGGCTTGCAAGCACCCCCTTTTTCCTCCAAACATAACGATGGTCATTATGGCCAAACAGTTCTATTTTTGTTTCATCAGACCAGAGGACATTTCTCCAAAAAGTACGATCTTTGTCCCCATGTGCAGTTGCAAACCGTAGTCTGGCTTTTTTATGGAAGTTTTGGAGCAGTGGCTTCTTCCTTGCTGAGCGGCCTTTCAGGTTATGTCGATATAGGACTCGTTTTACTGTGGATATAGATACTTTTGTACCTGTTTCCTCCAGCATCTTCACAAGGTCCTTTGCTGTTGTTCTGGGATTGATTTGCACTTTTCGCACCAAAGGACATTCATCTCTAGGAGACAGAACACGTCTCCTTCCTGAGCGGTATGACAGCTGCGTGGTCCCATGGTGTTTATACTTGCATACTATTGTTTGTACAGATGAACGTGGTACCTTCAGGCGTTTGGAAATTGCTCCCAAGGATGAACCAGACTTGTGGAGGTCTACAATGTTTGGCTGATTTCTTTTGATTTTCCCATGATGTCAAGCAAAGAGGCACTGTGTTTGAAGGTAGGCCTTGAAAGACATCCACAGGTACACCTCAAATGATGTCAATTAGCCTATCAGAAGCTTCTAAAGCCATGACATCATTTTCTGGAATTTTCCAAGCTGTTTAAAGGCACAGTCAACTGAGTGAATGTAAACTTCTGACCCACTGGAATTGTGATACAGTGAATTATAAGTGAAATAATCTGTCTGTAAACAATTGTTGGAAAAATTACTTGTGTCATGCACAAAGTAGATGTCCTAACCGACTTGCCAAAACTATAGTTTGTTAACAAGAAATGTGTGGAGTGGTTGAAAAACAAGTTTTTATGACTCCAACCTAAGTGTATGTAAACTTCCGACTTCAACTGTATACTGTAGGTGTTCTCCTGGTTGGAAACGGACTGGAAAAAGCTGACTATCATGTTTAATCTTGCATTCTAACGCCTGTGTTCAAGATGAGAACACTTATTGGCAAATCTAAATGCCTAATGTTTAAGTTTTAAACACTGACGTTTAGGTTATAAACATGTCACGTTTCATGGTTTTACAGTGTGCAGGTGATAGTACACTGTTTATGGTGGATGGTACATCAATATTTTGTTGTTTTTTATAAGACAAAGAATGTTGACAGTTCTGTTTATGTCGACTCACCTCAGAGATCACTGGTGAACTAATGATGTAAAGCATCTGAGATCATGCATTATCTGCATGTAACCTACAGCATCTCCTATCACTTTTATCATCTCATTACAGTCTGTACATCAATGATGTATGAAACAGCTGTTGAACTATGTTGAACTGTGCTCCTGTACATGATGGAAATGACTGGGTCTACATTCCCACAGTGTGACACGTCACCTGTCAAGTTTTCAGTCTACTCCTTAGGCCCACATCTTAGTCATCACTTACAGTTGAAATAAATTGAAATGTGTTTGAGTGAGATAGAGATGGAGACAGAGAAAAAGAGAGCGGTATTGTGTGACCCTCTCAGATACTGATGAGTTGTTGGATAGCAAGATCTTTCACTCTCTCACAAGCTGACTTCTCTCACTTCTTTGTGCTTGCCACATCCTCATTTTTTTGTTGGCACATACAGTACCTCACTCTTGCAACTCTCTGCCCAATGGGGACAGATGTCGTTTTAATGTCTAGTTTTGATTTACAGTACATTTGGTTGTGTTTTCAACAAACGAGAATTCAACATGAAATCAACAAAATAATTCACGTAATTGGATTTAGGTTAAAAGTTGGGTGAAAAAATACAAAATTCCCTTACGTTGATTACTTTTTGCAAATCCAATCAGTTTTCCACGTTGATTCAACGTCATCACATTGTATTTTTTGTTGTTGAAATTACGTGGAAACCACATTGATTCAACCAGTTTTTGTCCAGTGGGTGCCCACGTCAACACTCTCTTCTTGCTGCTATGGTTTCTCTCTACTGGGAGTGATTCCTGCAGGCCAGTGGTAGAGGGGGCTGGTCCACATGCATCCCCCCACACCCCAACTCCCATGGGGAAGCGAGGCCAGCTGTTAGTGATGCATTTCCTGTACTGCCCTGTAGCTGTTCACCGCTCAGTGATGGGGCTGACAGCAGCACGCCCACCCGACCACATCCATCCATCCAACCATCCCACTCACCCACACACAGCGCTACAGCAAAGTATATAGAACCACACATAGCCTAACCATTTACAGTCTATATATGGTAGATTTAATTACTCCTTTATGTCCTGTGTAGCTCAGTTGGTAGAGCATGGCACTTGCAACGCCAGGGTTGTGGGTTCGTTTCCCACGAGGGGCCAGTATGAAAATGTATGCACTCACTAACTGTAAGTCGCTCTGGATAAGAGCGTCTGTTAAATGTCATTGTATCTTCCTCAATGCACTTTTTCTTCATTATATTTTTCTTCTTCTTCTTCCTCTCTCTACTCCCCCCCCCCCCCCATCCTCCTGTCCCTCCTCTCTTCTCTCACTCTACTCCCTCACCTTTTCCTCCCTCCCCGCTCCACGTGACCTGCTCCCTTCTCTCTTCTCCTCACCTCACCCCCCCCCCTCTCTCCTGTTCTCTGTCCCCTCCCTCTGGGCTTCAGGCACCATGTACACTATGTGATCCCGTATGATGGGGACCAGTCTCTGGTGGACTCGGCAGATAACTACTTTGTGAGTGACAGCGTGACCAAGCAGGAGCTGGACCTGATGCTGGGGCTGCTGCTGGGCTTCCTCCTCAGCTGGCTGCTGCTGTGCCTGGACGGGGCGCTGCACGCTGCCCTCAGAGCCTGGAGGGCCAAACAGCACCATGGTGAGTCAGCAGGGGGCCCCCAGGGGCACAACCCCACAGGAGAGCTCCAAAAGGCAGAGAGACAATGTATGGGGAGCTGGTCTAAAAAGGCTGACACAGCTCTGGGTTATAAAAACAGCTGCAGTAGAAAGTTACTAAAGAATACAGATGTTTTGTTCATGGGGTGGGGGTAAAATAGGATATTCTTTGGGTGAGTGAGGGAATGTACAGGAGAGCAAAAGTCTAAAGGTGCAGAGGTACGATGCCTCAACTTTGGATTAGCCTTGTTTGGTGAAAACTGCAGTATCGTGGGCAGCCTCCGTTCCAGAGACTACAGTACAGTGTGTATACCTGTCTATGGTTCAATGGCATTTATAAGTGTGACTCAGCCATCGACCCACTTTATCACAATATTCCCCAGCTTGCTGCTGTTTCTCTTTTGATTTCCTAAATTTCATTTCGGGTCAGTGTTTTTCAGGCTTATAAATGTATATGACAGCAGGAGTTTGTTCCTCCCTCAGATTTCTACATGAAACTGTTGTCACTGATATAGTCATCATACATTATTCCCCTTTAGTCTAGTCACAGTTTTTCCTGTGTGTGGAGTTTTCTCTTCATATTTCTATATCCAGTTGTGGGATTGGTGTAATTCCCCCCAGAGCTGCTTGCCGTGTAGGAAGTGATGGGGGTGGTTGGGAAAGAGGTGTAGAAATTAGTCATTTATAGCGTCGTGTCTTTTCAAATTGATATTTCCTCTCATGCGCACACACACACACAAGCATGCACATGCATGCACACACACAGACAGCGTTAATTTGAGTGTTTGTGGTTTTAAACTGCGAGTTCAGAGTAGACTTACTGCAATATTTCAGTGTCTTGTGATTTCTCTCTCTGTACAGATTTTGAATCCCTCTCCCTCGCTTACAATTCAGTATTTATCTCGACCTCCCATCTCACCAATCAAATTCATGTCATTTAATTATCTCCCATCGCCTGTCTATCCTGTGAAAAGTCTGTGGGCTTTATTAGTATGGCGGAGATGTCTCGTCCTCTCGCACCCCCCCCCCCCCCCCCCCCACACACACACACACACACACACACACACACACACACACACGGTGACAGCGTTTACAGCGTTGGGCCAGTAACCGAAAGGTGGCTAGTTTGAATCCCCGGGCCAGCAAGGCAAAAAAACACATGCAAACTGGCACACAAACTAAATGGTGGACAAATCCTTAATCTTTCAATCAATGTCGTACATCTTCCCCGACCCCCTTCTTTCTTTCCTTTACTGTGTCCAGATGTGTTCTCCTGGTCATGGGTTCCCCGCTTCTGTAAACTGGGGAGACGGGTGCATATGAGAAAGCTACAGGACTCAAGTGGGAACATGGTGCACGTTAAGCAGAAGCTGTACCACAACGGACACCCCAGCCCATGCCACCTCTGAGAGCCATGGCACAACTAACACCCCAGCCCACGCCATTTCTGAGCGCCTTGGACTGGCTGAGACCATAGACTGAGACCTGCTGTCAACTGACCAACCAGACTCTAGACACAAGGGCAGCTAAACAAAGACTATCCAAGATATACCCTTCAAACCATACTGTTTCTTATGGACACTGGATAGAGCACTTTATCAACTGGCCCAATGGCCTTCACACACAGTGCAAAACTCACCCTCCATATGTCTTGACTGGAGATTCTTTAATGTAAAAGGATGTAGGTAATGGAGGGTCCAGTTATTAGGGGGTAAGCAATTTGATAAGAGTGTGTCAGTTTTTCAAAATAGTTATATATATTTGGTTTTAGAATGTCAATTTTGCTAGAAGTGGGGATAGGGTGTATATTTTGCATGGGATTTGTCGGTTTGTAGAAAAAAATATTTATTTTGCCTTAAGAAATAAAAATATTTATTTAGCTTGAGACTGTATTTTGAGAGGGGTTTGTGTATTGGGAGATGTACTTTGTCTATTTTAGAAATTTGGCATGTAAAAACTGTCCTGAAAGGGGCCTAGGGTATGTATTTTCCGTGGGTGGGTGTCATTTCTTTCTTGATTATTGATGTCAATAATTACAAATTATTTGGGGTGGGGAAGAGAACATAAATGCTGCCTGCTTGTCTAACTGTGTGGTGTGTACAGTATATGCAGTGTGCCAATATTAAAGAACCATGAGGAAAGGCACTGTTGTGTGTCTATTGTTAAGGAAACCTGGAGACTAAATTCAAAGACGGAGGGTTACACTCAGGAGCTCTTTATAGTTGACAAAATACTTTACACTGAACAGCCAGTTGTAGAGTGCCTCCATAATGGTGGCTTTGAAAGGGACTGCCTGTGTTGTATTAATTAACTAATATCACAGGTGCAACATGCACTTGTCATGGTATTGGAGAGTGATACTGTATGAGGACTGTGACCCATTGGGTCCTGAGTGTTCCTCCCTTATGAATTTGTCTCTAGGGAGCGGGATGTAGCCCCCTTTCACTTCACTTCCCAGCACCTCCCCATCCTCCCTAGACCCCCCCCCTCCCTCCCCCTCCTCCCTCCCTCCCCTCTCTGTGCAGACATTGGTGTTGTAAAGATTAAATGTTTGTTTCATTAAAAAGGGACCACTGGAGGTTAACAGTGACGGAGTGCTGCTGTGTCATTACACAGGTTCAAGATATAGTTCATCACCATATCAGCATCTGTTGGTCACATGTTTTCACAATGACTTTTAAGTCTATGAAACCATCCCCATTAGAAATCATAACATAGGTGCAGCCATTGTAAGAAACCTGGATTATTTTACTGTTCTTTTCATCCACACGATTTGAATAATAGTATCATCTCTTACAGTTCACATCAACATTCATATTATTACAGACATAGGGTTTCCATATAAAGTACCCTTTTAGACTTTTTATACAAATCATATAATCTCAAAGCTCTCCAAACTCTCCAGGATTGCTTCATGAACTGTTAGTGCCTCCATCTCTCCTCCCCGTCCCCCATCTCTTTCAGTCCGACAGACCTCCACAGACAGTGAGGAGGAACAGGAGGCGTCCCCCTGTAATCCCATTAATCCCAAAAAGCAGCCCCTATCCTGTCCTTCCCTTTGCCCCTAATGTTAAACTGGAGTCCCATCCTTGGGAGGAGCTTTTGTCCCACCCTCACTGCTAGGGGCTGCATCAGTTTGGGCTACACCCTCTTCCCCCTCCCCGAGGTGTTACCACCGCTTCTGCTTTGACACCCTCCCCTTTGGCCGGGAAAGTCCCCTCCTCCGCAGGCAGGGTGGCACTGTCTGAGGAAGGTGGGGCTGGTTCTGCAGGTGGAGGCACCTCCAGTTTCAGCTCCTCCTGACTGACAGGGGCCTCCGGTCTGCTGTCCATCTCCAGGACCGGGGTGAGCACCCCCTGAGCCTGTGGTGGCTCCCCTAGAGGCAGAGTGAAGCCTATATTGCTACTGTCTACTGGTCCAGCGCTGGGAGAGGTCTTGTGGTTTTTCCCCCCCCTTTTTTCCCCCCCCCCCCCCCCCCGGGGGGGGGTTTTTTAAAAAAGGGGGTTTTTTTAAAAAAAGGGGAAAGGGAATTAAAAAGGGGGGGTTTTTTTAAAAAAAATTTTTTTCCCCGGGGGGGTTCCAAAAAGGGGGGTTTTCCCGCCCCCGGGGGGAAATTTCTTTTTTTTTTAAAAAAACCGGGGGGGTTTTTTTTTTTCCCCAAAAAAAAACCCCTTTTTTTTAAAAGGGGGAAAAATAAAGATTTTTTTTCCCCCCTTTTTTTTCCCCCTGGGGGGGGAAAAAAATTTTTTTAAAACCCTTTTTTAAAAAATTTTTTTTTCCCCCCAAAAAAAAAAAGGGGGGGCCCCCCCAAAAACCAAAAAAAAGGGGCCCCCCCCCCCCCCTTTTTTAAAAAGGAAAAATTTGGGAAAATTTGGGCCCCAACCCTTTGGCCCCCTTTTTTGGGGTTTTTTTTTCCCCCCCCCCCCCCTTTTTTTTTTTAAACCCCCTTTCCCCCCCCCCGGGGGGGGGGGGTTTTTGGGAAAAAATTTTTTTTTTTTGGGGGAAACCCCCCGGGGGTTTTCCCCCCCGGGGCCCAAAAAGGGGGGGGCCCCCCCCCCCTTGGGTTTTCCCCCCCGGGGGGGGGGTTTTTTTCCCCCCAAAAGGGGGGGCTTTTCCCCCCCCAAAAAAGGGGGGGAAAGGGGTTTTGGAGGGGGGGGGGCCCCAAAAAAAAAAGGGGGGGGGGTTTGGCCGGAGGGTTTTAAAAAAAAAGGGGGGGGAAAAAAAAAAAGGGGGTTTTAAAATTTTTTAAAAAAAAAAATTTTTTTTTTGGGGGGGGGGGGAAAAAAAAAAAAAAAAGGGGGGGGGGGGGAAAAAAAGGGAAAAAGGGGGGGGGAATTGGGGGGGGGTTTTTATTGAAAAAAGGGGGGGGTTTAAGGGGGGCTAAAAAAAAAAAATTTTGGGAAAAAAAGGGGTTTTTAAAACCCAAATTTTAAAAAAAAAAAAAAAGGGAAAAAAAAGGGGGGAATTTTTTAAAAAAAAAAAGGGGGGGAAAAGGGGGAAAAGGGGAAAAAGGGGGGGGCCCGGGGGGTTTTTGGGGGGGGGGCCCCCCGGGGGGTTTTAAAAAGGGGGGAAAAAAAAAAGGGGAAAATTTTTAAGGAAAAAAGGGGGCAAAAAGGGAAAAAGGGGAAAAAAAAAGGGGGGGAAAAAAAAAAAGGGGGGGGGTTTGAAAAAAAAAGGGGGGGGGAAAAAAAGGGGGGGAAAAAAAGGGGGAAAACCCCCGAAAAGGGGGGGGAAAAAAAGGGGGGGGGGAAAGGGGGGGGGGTTTTTTTTTAAAAAAAGGGGGGTTTAAAGAGGGGGGGAATTGGGGGAGAAAAAAAAGGGGGAAAAAAGGGGGGGGGGGGGGTTAAAAAAGGGGGGGTTTTGGGAAAAAAGGGAAAAAAAGGAGGGGGAATTTGGGAAAGAAAAGGGGGGGGGGGGAAGGGGAAAAAAAAAAAGGGGGGGGGGGAATTAGGACGGGGGGGGAAAAAGGGGAAAGGAAAGGGGGGGGGGAAAAGGGGGAAGGGGGGGGGGGGGAAAAAAAACCGGGGAGGGGAAAAAAAAAAAAAAAGGGGGAAAGGAAAAAAAAGGGGGGGGGAAGAAAAAAGGGGGGGGAAAAGAAAGGGGGAAAAGGGGGGGGGGGGGGAAAGGGGGGGGAAAAAACGGGGGGTTTGGGGGGGGGGGGGGGGGGAAATTGGGGGGGGGGGGGAAAAAGGGGGGGAAAATTAGAAAGGGGGGGGGAAAGAAAGGGGGGGGGGGGAAAAAGGGGGGGGGGAAAAAAAAAGGGAAGAGGGGGGGTTTAGAAAAAGGAGGGGGGGGAAAAAAAAGGGGGGGGGAAAAAAAAAAGGGGAAAGGGGGGGAAAAAAAAAAGGGAGGGGGAATTAAAAAAGGGGGGAAAAAAAGGGGGGGGGGGTTGGAAAAAAAAAGGGGGGAAAGGGGGGGGGTTTTGGGGGGGGGGGGGGAAAGGGGGGGGGGGGGGGGGGGGGGGAAGGGGGGGAAAAAAGGGGGGGGAAAAGGAGGGGAAAAAAAAGGGGGGGGGGGGGGGAAAAAGGGGGGGAAAAGGGAAAAATTTTAGAAAGGGGGGGGAAAAAAAAAAGGGAAAAGAAAAAAGGGGGGGGGGGGGGGGGGGGAAAAAAAGGGGTTAAAAAGGAAAGGGGGGGGGGGAAAAAAGGGGGGGGGGGTTTTTTAAAAAAAGGGGGGGGGGGGAAAAAAGGGAAAAAAAGGGGGGAAAGGGGGAAAAAAAAAGGGGGGGGGAAAAAGGGGGGGGGGGGGGTTTTTTTAAAAAAGGGGGGAAAAAAGGGGAAAAAGGGGAAAGGGGGGAAAAAAGGGGGGGAAAAAAAAAAGGGGGGGGGGAAGAGGGGGAAAGAAAGGGGGGGGGGGGAAAAAAAAAGGGGGGGGAAAGGGGGGAAAAAAAAAGGGGAAAAAAAAAGGGGGGGAAAAGGGGGAGGAAGAAGAGAAAAAAAGGGGGGGGGGAAAAGAAGAGGGAAAAAAAAGGGGGGGGGGGGGAAAAGGGGAAGGGGGGGAAAAAAAAGGGGAAAAAAGGGGGGAAAAAAAAGGGGGGGGGGGGGGGTTAGGGGGAACAAAGGGGGGGGGGGGGGGGAAAAAGGGGGGGGGGGAAAAAAGGGGGGAAGGGGGGGGAAGGGGGGGGGGAAAAAAGGGGGGAAAAAAAAGGGAAAAAAAAAGGGGCAAAAGGGGGGGGAAAAAAAAGGGGGAAAAAAAAAAAAAGGGGGGGGGGGGGTTTTGAAAGGGGGGGGAAAGGGGGGGGGGGTTTTTTAAAAAAAAAAAAAGGAGAGGGGGGGGGGGGGAAAAAGAGGGGGGGGGGGAAAAAAGGGGGAAAAAGGGGGAAAGGGGGGGGAAAAGGGGGGGGGTTAAGGGGGGGGTTTAAAAAAGGGGGGGGGAAAAAAGGGGGGGAAAAAAAAGGGGGGAAAGGGGG